TGCTGAAAAGGGCAGCAAAAAACACCACCTGGTTGCCATAGACAAGATCCTTCCCTCTGCTTTTAGTCGGGGTTTCTGTCAGGAGGAGGCCACTGCACTTCCTGCTAGTCATCCACAGAGGGCTCTAGAGCCATCCCAACTGTCCCCCTTTTGTGGGAAGCCTACCCACTTTTCATAGCTGGGTGGCAGTGTAGCTACCTAGCTGTACCTAGAGATTGCAGCATCTGAGTTACTCACATTCTGTAATACCCTTAACCTCACAACATACTGGGCAGGGAAGAAGTACATATTACAAAAAGAGAATATGACGTGTTCAAGGGCCCAAAGGAAGGATAAGGCAAGCAGAGAATTGAACACAAGTGACAGACTAGCACCCTGACCGCTAGACTTTCTCTACCAACGGATACACTAAACCCTGAAGTGGACTCTGGTTCTTAGTCTGTGCTGCTGAGTCCATTTATCTCTGTGTTTCTACTTTTGCAGCAGTTATTTGCTGGTCTCATTCGGTGTTTCCTCAAACAATCCACTGAGCTGTCTCAGTGTAACAGAACAGAATGCCCCAGAGAACCTGGAAGAGAATTGGGACATTAAGTACCTAATATAACTAGATGCTGTGGTGTAAAGCAAAGTCTGGATGACACTGATTTGGCTGGTGAAGTACAGGCCTTTTAATTTGCATGCTTCTCTGTAATTCTTTCCCCAACAGGCTTATTTTCCTCCTTTTAGACCTCAAAGAAAAGTGTGTACATTTTTACATAAAATTCATAGAGTAAGAACCTGAGAGAACTGCCTGGCATTATACCACAGTCACATATGCTGCGGTGTCCTGTACGGGGGATGACAAGTCAAAAGGAGAGGGTCAATTCCGGATCCTGGTAGCTTTGTATCAGCCTGTTAGCATTGCCCCAGGATTCCCGCAGTGTAGGGGACCTCCACCAATAACAGAATTGATACCATGCCACCACTTTTACGGTGTGGATATAAGGGGGATGGTTGAGAAAGGAGTGTTGCTGTTTTCTAGTGATTCCATAATTGTCAGGAAGCCACTTTCCCTTAAGGCTGTTCTTACTGGCTTTGGGGGGTAGATTGTCCCCACTCCACTGGCCCCTGGCTGAGGTGGGAAAAAAGCTGGTGAGCAGCCAGTGCAGCTCTAGAATTGGGCCCAATGGTTCATAAACTCCCACTGAAACATTCTTCATGAGATTTGAAAGCTATTGCTAAATGCAGCACTGGAGATCCCCATTACGGTAGCTGTCCTGGCCACTAGTAAAACCTGCAGCCCAATTTTTTAATTCCAGTTGGGATGAAAAGGTGGTGAGAGGTTTGATATGCACAACACCCTGCACTATCCTGGCCCTTTTCAAGAAGCTACAATGTTACATTTAACCTGGATAATGTTTCCCACAGCGTAACTCCATCTGTGAGTCATTTTCAAATTTGATTTTTGTGGTTTAAAAACAAGCCACCCTGGAGATTTTCCCAGTAACCTTTCTGAACTGTTCCAGATTCTAATTATATAGCATAAAGAGCCAAACCCTGATCCTAGTGTTTCCCATGAGTATTTTGCCATGGACTTACAGGGAGCACAACTGAGCCAATGTAGAGCTCAGTCATGACTCTTCAGACAACCTGAAGATTTGGAGGCATGCTGCCTCCACAGGTGCTCTGGAAGACACTGTAACTGAGTCAGGCACAGATGCAAGGCAGGCTGTGGCACTATCTATTCCCAGTGAGGTCAGCCAGCCAGCTCAAGAGGAAGAAATGAGGCCTCTCTCCCTTCCCCTTTTCTCTGCTTCTGTGTGCACTGGTCTTTCAGAGTCCTTTCACGCCACGAGTACTGATGCTCTAATTGTGTCTGGTCTCCGCACCAACGTGTGTGTGGGGGGGAAGGGGGAAGACCCTTCTCACTCCAGATCCTCAAAGGCATTTAGGCTCCTTACGTCCATTGATTTCTCTGGAAGATGAGAGCCTACATATCTTCGAGAGACTGGGCCCTAGCACCTACTTTCCCCTAGAACATCCCTGCAGAGATTGCCACAGCTGAGCTCACTGTGTCAAGGAATTTCATGTGTAAAAATCATTATGCAACCAAGTCCAGATCTGGAAGGTGCAGAGCACTTCTAGGTGGGTTGTGAACACCCTCAAATCCTATTCAAATGAATGAAAACTCGGGGTTCTCAGCATTTCACAGGCTCTCACTACTAGGGGAGAAATGGCTTGGAGCAGAATTCATTTAAGCTCAGGTTCTATCTAGAAAAAAATTAAAATACAATTTATCCAGCAAAACTAATTTGTTAAATGCCAGGGATTTGCATTTTTTTAAAATGTGTTAGAAAACAGTCTCTGCTCTCTGGGTAATAACATTATAACTGCAATGAATGTTTGTTTTACTGATCAGTTTTGATTCTATACCAATTCACCCTTTAGGACTGGATTCTACTCTCCATTAAGTGGAAGGGAGTTGTGTCTGCAGGAGGAACACAGGACTATGAAACTGTACTGGAAAATTTGCAATAGTAACTTCCTCCCTGAAGCCATTAAACATATTTGAGTTCTAACTTTTTTTTTTTTTTGGTAAACTCAAGTTATTTGTGTGCATGTGCAAATTATTTTATAAACTTGCCCAGAGATTAATATAAAACATAGCATTAAATTACTACAACTGGCTCTTTATAAAGTTTAAAATGAATGAATTGCTCACAGTTGTCTTTGTTCTGTTTACATTTGGTTTAATGCCCTTTAAAAGCAGTCCCGTTTAATGTAATAAATTGTCATTTCTGGTTGTAATTTATTTCAACAGCAAATAAATACATGGCATTTGCTTTATAATTGAACAGTGTTGGTTATGAGCCATTCAAAAAACAGTCCAAGGAGCACGTCACGTCTTTCCCTGCATTATACTAAGGCAATGTCTACACTACACTTTTGTTGGTAAAACTTTTGTCAGTCAGGGGTGTGAAAAAAAACCACATACACCCAACTGACAAAAGTTTTATTGACAAGAAGCGCTGGTGTGGACAGTGCTTTCCTGGAGGGAAATGCTCTTCCACAGACAAAGCTATCATTGCTTGTTGGGGATGGTTTAATTATACTGGCAGAAAAGCTCTCTCCTGCCAGCAAAGAGAGGTAAAAAAGGAAGACCTAACAGCAGCACAGCTGTAGCGGCAGAGTTGTGCTACTGTAACTATAACCCCAGAGAGCACCCTGCTAAGTATGGCATTTCATTCCTGAAGGCAGGAAAGACTTCATGAGCTTTTTCAGTTTAAGTGAAAACATGTACTTCCTGCAGAGAGGCACAAGTGGCTGAGATGCACAAAGGTACCTAAGCTCCTTGATTTGAAATGGATTTAGGTGCCTAACTGACTTTGAGGCTGTGGGTTTGGCAGTGTAGACACTCTCTTATGGAAGAGGTTTTGCACAAGAAATCTTCCGCAAAAGAGTTCTTGCAGAAAAAGCTGCCAGTGTAGATGTAGCCTAGCAGTTGTGCTGCAGACATCCTGAGCCCATGCCCCAAAAGGATAAATAGTCCCCCGAAAGACAGGATACTTAACATATGTCTACATTGTAATGAAAAACCCACACTGGGTCGGGCCAGATGACTCAGGCTCATGTGGATGGGGTTAAGGGCTGTTTAATTGTGGTGTAGACATATGGACTGGGGCTTGAGCCCTAGAACCCTGTGGGGTGGGAGGGTCTCAGAGCTCAGGCTGCAAACTGAGCCAGAACATCTACACGACAATTAAACATCCCCTTAGCCCAAGCCCTGCGATTCTGAATCAACTGGCCAAGGTCGGCCGTGGGTGTGTAACTGCAGTGTAGCCAGACCCCAGGCTTTGAGTCGGCCCTGTGTTAATTAAATTGTCAGGCTCAGAGCAGGTGCTCTGCAAGGTGTGGAAAACAAATTGCATCATGCGCAGGCTTGCTCCTCAGGTGCTCACACTGTTCCTGGCCCCAGCTCTCCTAAGTGAGCAGCTCCTGGGAAGACCACAGAACCTGGGAGCGGAGAGTGGGTAAGGCAGGTTGGAAATGAGTTCATCTATCACATTGTGGGGCGGAGAGGGGGATCTAGACTAGTAAGGGGGTGGTGTCACCAACTGCCCTGCAACCAGGGTACTTCATAATGGTTTGCTGGGGTGGCTCCCATTCTGAACCACCCACAAAGAGCTAGACACCATGCAGGTCACATCCTGAGTGTGCATACCACAGCCCTGGATCAGCAACGGACCCCCACATCCAGTGAGCAATGCACCAGCCATGCTCTGGCTTCCTGCAGCTGTGGTTACAGCCTGCAGTGTAACCCCAACACACTCCTATTACCCAAAAATGTGTGTTTTGCACTGTCCAGACTTCACCTACTGTTCAGATATTAGAGGTCTACTGCTCCTGCAAGGGGTCAATAGGCAACAGTTTCAATTGGAGTTACTAAACAACAAACAATTCAATTTAAACACAACACTGGTTAAGAAATAAAACAAGTTTATGTAACTATGAGGGGAGATTTTAGGTGAGTACAAGGCCGTAAAGTAAAAAATGCTTATAAGAGAATAAAAGAGAACATGCTTTCCAGTAACTAAAATATAACAGACTCATTGTGGCTCAAGATAAAATCCTTACCACAAGTTGCTAGCTCCTGAGGCTACGTGCTGGACACTGCTGCTGCATGTGCTTGCACCTGCACAGAGTGCAGCACGCTGCCCAGGTCAAGGGACAATCGCACCCAATCCCCTCTGTGCAGATGGAGACATGGGGTCTTGTTATTTGCTAGAAAAGGTTCTGTGTTATTTGCTAAAATGTAGATTGATCCTTTTCTGCCCCCTTTGCTGCCAAGGAACGGCTGCCTGACTGCTGATTGCCAATCAGCTTTGATGACACCTGGCTAGAGGCATCAGTTTGTCCTTTGCCTCTGAGAAACAGGTTTACTCCCTTCCCAAGATTTGTCTGATAAACACATTTC